TTTCCGTCTTCTCTTATAACACTTTCAGTGTTTTCTCTGTAACTATATATATATATATATATATATATATATATATATATATATATATATTTGATTTAAGAAACAGCAAATATTTTTATATATAGTGCTCAATATTAAAAATATTGAAATAATATTAAAAATAGAGTGTTAATAATATTATATGAAAAGTTTTCTTAACTTTTAAATATCAAATTTATCCCGACTTCAAAGTTTCTTATTTACATTATTCGGACTATTGTCCTCATCTTTGTCGTCATATTTATTACAACGTTTCGGCCGTTGTACTCTCCAGACTTCTTCAGGTGGTTGGAATGTCGAACTGAATCCTTTATTTCGCTCACTGGGGCAGACTGTTCTAGTTCCATGTGACATATTTAATGGATGTCAGTTATCAGTTGTCTCCTGTTAATTTCCCTCCGAAAGTTCTCCACTGCCTTAGCCGGGTATTGAACTCACAGTCTTTGGGTCCTGTCACTGGATCTAACTAACGCCTTTATCCACTGTGCCATGTGTGGTTGAGGACAACCACCTGATGAAGGCCGGAGCGTACAACGGCCGAAACGTTGTAATAAATATGGCGACAAATATGAGAACAATAGTCCGAATAATGTAAATAATGTACATAATACCTCATCTGAGAAATATAGACAGATACTCAAAGTTTCTTTGATTTCCAGTCTTCAAAGCATTCTGATTTTAAACGATATTTCCAATTCTTTCAATTTTTTTTTCGTAAAAATTGAAAAAATTGGAAATATTGTCATATATATATATATATATATATATATATATATATATATATATATCACGTCAAACGTTATTTTAGTGGATACTCATAATTTAATAGACGCTCTAATTTATTAAACAGTATATTTATTTATTCATTTATTTATTTTCGTGTACCGGCCTGAATATTAGATAAAGGAAAAATAACCACTCTCCGGTATATATTTTTTAATAAGATTTCTTGAATATTCAGGCCAGTACACGAAAATAAATAAATATACTGTTTAAAAAAATAAATGGAGTGTCTACTGAAATATGAGTATCCACTAAAAATAACATTTGAAGTGATAAAAATCTGTTGTATTGATAAATAAAATCCTAGAAAAAAAAATATATATGGGAGGACTAAAAATTCAGACATAATTAAATACATATCTGTAAAAATCCAATATGGAGGTAAACGACAAAAGGAAAACTTACCTTAGCCGTCACGTTTCGTCCTCTAATGAATTTTATCAAAATTAGATTTCAATTTGCATTTAGTATATTTATTAGCGTTCTTAAAGTTAAACATTCTGGAACGCTAACGGCATTTTTATGTCTGTTTATAAATACTTCTTGCAAAATAAATTCCTTAAATTTGTCTGGATAATGTCCATCACAGGACGAAGCACTTCGACTAACATAAGTTTTCTTACTTTCTTATATATATATATGTGTGTGTGTGTGTGTGTGTGTGTGTGTGTGTGTGTGTGTGTGTGTGTGTGTGTGTGTGTGTGTGTGTGTGTCATTATTTTAATGAAATGATCTTTAAGGCGTTTAACGATTTCTCCAAATTCTTTTTCTGTGTCATCTGTGAATTGACATGATTTCTTGAGAGAGATCGTTGCTTTCTATACAGTTTAGAATTCTGGGTTTGCTTCTCCTAGACTAACTGCCATCCAAGGCTCGAAAGCCTAGTCTACTCTTTTACTTAACTCTTGGCTACGAGTAAAAGGATAGTTTAATTCTTTTCCCAACGACAGTGAAAAAGTGCTAAAGTGAATGGAAACTACAAACCGATTCCATTTTGCGTATCGATAAACGTTACGCTCAGCACACATTCATCAAGATGTGTGCTTCTGTCATTTTTTATTTATGTACAAAGGAACGAATGTCGAGATGCAATAAATATGAATATTTTCCAAACGTTTTCAATTTATAATTTCATGGCTGATGCTAAGTAAAGTGACTCGTTGCGCCTTCAGGGGCTAAAGTTCTCAACTGACATGGAAATGGAAAGACTATATTGAATCCATTGCTAGCTCAGCTGCTAAGAAAGTTTGTTCACTGTATCGGGCGAGACAATTTTTCTCTCCAGAATCTATCTTACATATTCATCCATGTTTCTACCAGAATCTATCTTACCATTCATCCATGTTTAGAATATTGCTGTCACATATGGTCCGGTGCCCCTGCTTTTTACCTTGAGCTCCTTGATAAAATCCAAAGAAGACTCAGCAATATTATTGTCCTGATCTGGCAGCTCGGCTTCAGTCACGAACATAATGTTGCCTCTCTGTGTCTTTTCTATAAATATTTTAATGCTAATTGCTCGGATTAGCTCTTCATCATGGTGCCTATAATTTATGAATTTAAGCCCAGTATTAGACTGGCGTCGAGAGCTCATCAATTTACAGTTGATCTGGAAATATGTAGCCGTAAATTCGATGCTAACAGTTTCTTTCCTCACACTTCTCGCTTGTGGAACTCCCTTCTGGACCCATGCTTTCCAGCCAACTTTAATCTGCAAGAATTTAAATGCAATGCCAATCGCTATCTACTTTCCTCCAGATTCTCTCTTCCCGTTCATTATTAATGTTTCTGTTGCTAATTATTCCGCGCCCTGTAACTTGTGTCTTAGTGGCTTTAATGCCTTGCATGTAGTGATACAGATTGAAAAAAAACAATATCCGACTATAATTTTAGCCATTATCAAGATGATATAAAAACTAGAGATTTTATTTTTTTCAATTTTGAAATATGTTTGCTGTTTGTCATGTTCTGTGTTTGTGCTTCACGCACAAGTCAACATCCAAATGAAATTCTTCATTATGTTCAACGAACCTATCATTTATCAAATACATTTAAAATTTCCTTCTTTTTCGTTTCAGTTAGAGTCAGTCTTTTTTTTACTAATGATCGTAGAATTATGGTCTAAGTCGTTGTGATAAAAAGCAGTTGAAATTAAAAGAAATACGCATCGGAAATAATCCAGAGTTAACATTTTAATTCAATATACAATAAATTGTTCAGGGTTGATTTCTATGTGGATCATCTATAACTAAATCGCGTAACTACAATTTTCACACTTGCCATCGCTTTGTGCCAGACTTACGTTGGTCAAGCAAGTAATAACAAACTGAAAAGTACAAACTACATCTTTTCCCACCAACTGCAACAGACGACATCTTTTCTGCTTTGAATCTGTTTTTACTTATCGTACATGGCATGCTAATTAGTTTACGTCTTTAGTCTGAAATTAATCGTCGAAAATATCTTCTTTTCTGTTTTATTTTTTCCTGTTCTTCCATCTCTCTCTTTGTCATCGTTTTCTGTCTTGATTCTACCTCTTTTTTCTTCACATTTTTATACTTTAATTAATTCTTTACGTTATTTTGGAACGGAGTAGATGTCATAAGGTACATGTATATGCCATATTAACGGACAACTATTATTTATCAGTGTCTACTCATCGGGACAGATGCTCTTGCATGTTATTCAGCAAAAGGAGACAATTACCAAGAAGGATCATTTTAAGTCATTTTCAAGAGGTATGTTTTTAATTTAAGGTTTGTATACACGTAGCAGACAACATTTCGCACTATCCTTTCTTCAGTAAAAGTATAACTTCTGTGCCCAAAAAAGCTTAGAAAAAGGGATGCTGTGTATTAGAATTATTGTTTTTCAAAAAAGTTTAGAAATTTGCCTTAAACAAATCTGCACTAATCTGTTTGTATAAACATATTTCTCCATTCATATATATATATATATATATATATATATATATATGACAGAAAAGTAAAACAAAATTACCTCAACATGGTTTTTTGCTGTGGATCGGTTTTAATGATTAATATTACTAGGATTCGCCTGAATTATATGCCAACGGATCGATTATTTGTACTATATATATATATATATATATATATATATATAGTTCATAACAGCTCAGTTTCATATCTAAACGTAATTAAAGCAATTTCTAAAGAAGTAATGATTTTTTTTTATTAATCCGACAGATTTTATCATTACAAACGTCATTTTTAGTGGATACGTTTAAAGTGATAAAATCTGTCGGACACTGATGTCAACATCGGGCCTCAACATTGTTTCATGCTTGAACGCAATCGTCAGGATATATATATATATATATATATATATATATATATATATATACCTCGCTATCAAGTGGTAGACAGTCTAGGAGAAGGGAAACCAGTTAAGCGTACATATTTAGTGAAAGCAAGGAAGGCATTTTTGCACCGAAGTTGGTCTGGCATTCACCGTAACAGATACCCCCAAAAGCCTTTCTCGCTGGATGCTGGAAAGGATTTCGAAATGGTGGGCCAGTATTTGATCCATTTCTCACTCACCTAAAAATTCACTCGTGCACACACGTTCCTTGAAAGGAAGCCTGTTGGATAAAAATATGGGAAATAAGAAAAAGAGCACCAGCTTACAACGAAAAATCAAAACAACTTCGCCTGGATAGTAAGCCATAATCACGTTTTCAGAAGAAGATAAATTGTTAAAAAGATCTAAGCTGATTTCCAAATGCAGACACGAAAACAAATTCCTACTATGCTACACACAACCCCATCATGACCAAAACGGCTTAATAAAATCTCATAACTGAAATCTAATAATTTTTATTTTAAATACAAAATTTAGAAATAACGAAAAATACGCAAGGAAAATATACATAATAAATAAATAAGCAATCATATCATGACCCTAAATTGCCCCAAACATTAGCCATAAAGGAAAGACTGAGATAGGTCGGTTTCTTACGCTTACCACTTTCCTTAATCTTCCAGTGGTCTCTAAGAAGTAGTGATATACGCTCTGAAAATCAAAAAAATAGCGTGAAACTGAGTCACCATGCAGTATTTATTTCTTTGTTCACATTATGTGTGTGTATGTGTGTGTGTGTGTGTGTGTGTGTGTGTGTGTGTGTGTGTGTGTGTGTGTGTGCATAATATATACCAATGTGGAATCCCGTTAAAATTATGAAAATATTCAATAGGTTTAAGTAATATTACTAAACCTCAAAATGAACTTATTTTCGTGCAAAATGTAGGCTTCAGATTTGAATTTCCACATGCGTATTTATTAACCAGTCAGGGCTGACCTCCATTGTGATAACATTTAAATGTCGGACAAATATATTTATCGTCTGCTACGAAATTTCAAGGATCACTCAAAAAATGATCAGCAATATTTTCCCTCCTAAAAAAAGATATTTAAAAATTAGGAAAATAAAGCAATAAACTTCTGATTATAGTAAGCTAATTTTTTAGCTTCTTCGTGCCTATTTATTTCTTCTAAATATTTCTGCTGTTAAGTTAGTTTTTCTGTAAACCTTTGACCAGAGTCGGTTGTTCGTTGTTGCGGCCAAGTTGAATTCTCAAAACCTTTCGTATATTTTGTTACGTAACATTTCTCAAATTTTATTCGAGTGACTATTTATAAAGCCTTGCGATTTTAATGCAAATTAAACACACTTGAAACATACGGAGTTTGTAAACAGAATATTAGGTTAAATATAATACAGCTATCGTTCACTATTACTGCTTCCTACTAAAAAATTACACCCACCCATAAAACAACGTAAATACGAGGTAACACTCTCCTCATGTAGGCACATTGTTTTTTTCTAACGCAGTTGATTCGGTTGTATTGTAAAGAAAGAAAAACAAAATATTTTTGTGTGAAGTTGTTTTGCAAAGATTCTTTGCAATTCGTTTCTTTCAATTTAAATGAAAACAAATAGTCAAAAATAAAATTTATTTAAATTTGTAGAACCTTGTTTGAAGATTGTTTATTTCTTCGCTTTCACTGCTACACATTAATTTATATATTCATCTGCGGCGATACATGTCTGCTGTATTTTTTATGAAAACAAGATGAGTTTTCGAATTTCTAAGTTCTTGATAATTTGTTTCTGGGATGTTTCAGAATAGTCATTTTCAGTTTTCTGTATCTCGGCTTGTCGTCACTTTATGTCTTACAGAACCTGATTTCCGGACCACAGAAACTGCAACTTTGAATTTGTAGATTTTAAAAGTATTTTTTCTAATTTTTACATGTTCTTTACCAAAAAGATTGTCTATAATTTCAAATATGCTGGCATACATACTTAATGCATTATTTTTTAATGTTATTATCACAGAAAGTAGCTCTATTCAATAAAACAAAAAAAATTAGAAACACAACATATAAAGAAATCGTTTGCCCCATTTTTAAGGAGTGCAATAGACACACACACACACATATATATATAAGTGGATATTGCGGTCAACACTGAGCCGCGAGTGTCTTGTTCATGCCATCATGAAGATTGCGTTCAAGCATAAAACATTGTCCACTTAAATATGCTTTATCCTTGATATTGACCACGTTTATTTGTCTAAAATGAACGCATCAAACTGGGCCAAAATTGAATCTGGCTTTCTGATCCCATTTACGGTATTGATAACCGTTACGCTACCCGTACTTCTTTTTCTTTATTCCTATTTTTTTCAAAAATCGTCACTAATTTATTCATAGTATCTATTTAAATGATTGCAGGGTTAAAGTAGTCGAGTAGACATATTCAATTCACATGAAATAGAAACATTCTGAAATTAAATGAATACCGTGGTTTCTTTTACCAGAAAACCGTCACAATTTACATTTTGTGAAAATAGGAAAATAAATAATGTCGATTCTAACAACTCTCCTGCTTGAAATGATTTGTGTTGTTCATCCTTTCTCACTAGATTTTTTTTAATTCCATTTTTGCTATCACAAATTTTAGATCGCTACATAGATCTTTTCTGTTAATTCACTCCAAATAATGTAAAGTTACTTATCGCAAATATTAATTCACCCCAAGAAATTTGAAATCAAAGTTTGTTCATTTTTTATTAAATTTTTGGCAGTCTTTTGAAATTATAAATTTTAAATGAAAATTTGTTTAGCCTACCTCACAACAATTCCAACCCAATGAAAATTTACCAAAAATCTGGGAATTCCTCACATTTCGTAAGTGCAAATTATATTCGAGGGACTCACAAGGAATTTTTTACAATTTAAAAAAAGGAAAAAAATCTGTTTTTGGCTTGTTTATCGGAGTGTGCGCCAACGGAGACCCCACACTCAGAAATAGTGCACCCAAGTCGCCTAGATTTGAGACGATCGTAACGGTCAACCCAACCAAAATGCAATGGAAGGGCTTGGCTCTGGGAGAATTTGGTGTGAATTTTAGTAAATATAAATTCTTTTTATTTTGGGGTGCATTAACAGAAAAATCCCGCTAAATTCTACGGTGTATGCGTGTTTTTTTTTTTTATTATTTTGTTTTTTTTTATTTATTTTTTTATTTTGTATATTTTTTTACTTAAAAAAAAAAAAGTATCATAGATAAAGAAGTAACATCTGATGAGATTTGAATTTGCATCCCGTGTATCTGTGAGCCAATCACATTGATTTACTCCTAAATTTACTCCTGGTTAAGCAGATTCAGAATGTGATAAAAACCAACAATATGACGAAAGAAAAACTCCTAAAAAATTTAATAACAATGAAAATAATTCATTTAAAGAAATCAGATATTTTAAGATTGATTTAATTTACCATTTAGTTCAACCTGAAAGAAAATAAGCTGAGGAAATATTCTTGCAAAATAAATGGAGAATTCGTTGGACCCGTTATTTTGCCAGATTAGTGAATAATGATAAAATCTGAATTTCTTTTTAAAACATGGCTGTTATTATTCCTAAAGGATGAGGGTGAGAGTTCGATTACCATTAGAGGCCAATTTTTTATGTCCGATATGCAATCCTTAGATAACTAAACGATCGTAAACATTTGTAAATTAATCAAAAACGGACAAGGATTTTAAGAAATTCCTATGCTATAAATTTATTACTAAAGTTGTAATGTAACTCATTTTCAGCACATTTCGATAAATAATTTTGAAAATTAACAAAAAGGCAAAATGTAATTATAATTTTAAATTTAGTAACACTGATTCCTAATGAAACCAAATTTTGCAACATTGACGAGTAACCACTTGATTTTGTTCAATTTGACGCATTAATTTCTTCGAAGATCTTGAAGAAATTTTCCGTGGAAAAGTAGATTTTATATCTTGCAATAAATGAATTAATGGTAGTAAATAAAATATTCAGGTTGGCTAAGATTTTTTCTGTAATTTTTACCTTCTTTCCAGAGCTTAACAATCAGTTCTTTACCTCTTGCCATGATGATAAACTTCTTGAACGAATATCAATTACAAAATATCCTGCTTGTATTTTTTAGACTAAAAATAACTACTGAAAGCATTACAGGAACATTCTAGAATATTCCACTTGAATAATCTAGGGTATTAAAGCAATTTAAAAGTTTTAAAATTTGAAACTTACATTGTACGAATCCTTTTTTCACCCATTAAAATGGATAAATGGGATTTATTTCTATTAAATCAAAAATTTGTATGTGTACGACTATTTGTTCCCCCCACTGTATATATATATATATATATATATAATAAAATAAAATAAAATAAAATATATGTGTGTGTAAGTAAGCAGCCAGGCGAAATTAAATTATTTCAGCATGACTAACAACAAACTCTGGAACGGGATAAACGAAGCGGGTTTAAAAATAAATCGGCTGAAAGATTGTCAAGGAAAAAATACAACAAAAAGAAAACTGTCCATCTCTTCTCAGGCATCTCTTCTGTCTTATTTAGTGGTATTTGTAGACGGGGAGAAGGTAGAATGATACGCGGAACATAGATTCCAGTCAGATTGGAGATACGTTATTATCATCTATTTTGGTCGAATTAAACATAGTGCTCTAAAAAGAAGATGTCTTCCATATCAGTTAGTCGTGACATTACGGAGATGGCTTCTGAATTAACGTGATTTAACGACCATAAATCTGCTATATGAACAACAATTCTTTAGAATATAATGATTTAGCATAAAATTCTTGTCTGTAATAAAGTGTGTGCAAATTATATACTTGTCCAAGTTCATTGATTATTTTCATAATGTAAGGTTTCAACCATTCAATAAATTTCTTCTTCTTCTCGATCTTATTTCTATTTTCCTTGGTTATTTCTTCACAGTTTTTTTAAATTTTCTTTCTTGTTTTTTATACGATTTTTGATTCTTAGCTTTTCCTTATGTATACTGTTTCATTTTAGTTTTCTTTGCAATCTTTCCATTTTTGCCCTTAATCTACTTTTGCTTCTCTATTTTCTCTTGTTGTCGTTCTTTTTTCTATTATTCTTCCCTGTCTCTGTAAAATCTTTCAATTCGATTCTATGTAAGAATTTATTTAGAAAGAATAAGTGTTTCAAACTCCTTCCCATCTTTATGGTGCCTATTCACAAAAAAACAACTTCAATATTTCGTCTACTTAACTCTACTTTTTAATGCTGTCAATAACAGCGCCTTCAGAGATATTCAGAGGCATAGTTTAAAAAAAAAAATGAAAAATATCCTAAAATGTTTACTACCTACCAGAAAATATTTCATGACATCAAAAATAGAAACAATTCATCAAATCCACTATGTTGATTGACCTCGTCACAGAAAAAAAATCTGTGCAACATTTATATTTAATTCAAAGAATATCTCTTCAAGCCCCCAACAAGCGATGAGTCACTTTCGAACTTTGAGAGTACTTCTCTTTTTGCGTTTTTTTTTTAACATAAAATATGTGTACATTTTAAATAAGTTTTCAGTTTTCTGTATTGGATACGTTGTCTTTGATTTCCCAATTTCTTTTCCCTTTTTATATTATCCTTATAGTTTGCAAACGATTTCATATTGTGCAACTTTATAGTCTTTCTTTTTCTCTCTTTCGGTCACTTCATTTTTCGTTTGTTTTTTTTCCTCTTCCTTCCTTTATGCGACCCACTTGCCTTTTAGAGTTGCTCTCCTTTTTCTTTCGTTGCATTTCTCGTACGCCTCATTCGTTCCATTTCATTCTTTAGAGAATTCTTCATGTCAAATATTATTTGGGGTTTTACATTTTTTTTAATCTTTCTGTTCTTTCTGCATTTCATTTTTTCTTTTCTTCGGAAGCTAGATATTTCTTAATCGCTTACATAGCTACATAATTATGTGGCTACTTTTTCATTTACTTATATATTCATCTGCTTCTCTCTTTATCTGTCTAAACTTACACTCATATAAATGTAAATGGGTTCAAGTGGATCTGCACGCTCTTTTGAATTTTAGGTTAGTTAAGATTTTATAATCTATAAGACAGAATGCATCGTCATCAGAGGAAAGAAGAGCCCAAAATACGGTTTACTGGTCGGGGACACTAAAATCAAGCAGGTACGGAAATTTAAATATCTGGGAAGCGTTTTGACAGAGGATGGTAAGTTCGACGCTGAGATTCGAAGACGTATTAGGATGGCCAAAGATGCATTCCAAAAGCTAGGCAGCGTATTGCGAGACTGGAGGGTTTCGTTGGTAACAAAGAAAAGAATACTGAATTGCTATGTGTTGATCTGTGCTCCTTTACGGCAGCGATTGTTGGACGGTCTATTCAGAGAGGAAGAAGACACTCGAGACAGCGGAGGTATGGTTCTATAGAAGGATGCTAAGAATACCATGGACCGAACATGTGAGTAACGATGGGGTTTTAGAGAATATGCAAACAAGGAGGAAGCTTATACTTAAGATCAGGAAGAGGCAACTGAAATTTCTGGGACACGTAATCAGAAAAGATGGCTTGGAGAATCTGATACTCACAGGGCAGATACGGGTGTAAGATAGAGAAGGGAAAGCAACGCATCACATACCTAGCGGGCTTAAGCAAGTGGATGACGGAACAGGATTTGGGAGATGTATCAAAAGGACAAAACATATTGAGAGCTACAAGGGATAGGAGGAAGTGGAGAGCCATGATCGCCTACGTCCTGAAGGGACACGGCACATAAAAGAAGAAGAAGATAGAAATTGCGGTGTATGACAGAAACATGAAAATGTGACGTTTTGGTGTAAATGGTTCATTGATTAGGTTCTTCTTAAGAATTTTAAGACATTAAAACCATCTCTCCGCTATCCCCTTGTGCTATACTTTTTTATTTATTTAAAAGACTAAATATCCCGTTTAAGTCGTAGGTGGAGGCAAAATAAAGGATAAATTCGAAAAATTCGTAAATTTTCTGTCTCGCCAACAATTTTTATTGCCTCATCTCAGTCAAAGTAAATAATAATAAAAGAATAATGAAATGAATCACACTAGACATCAATTTTAAAGAACATGACTACAAAAACAAAGAGTGACTCGTTGTTTCAAACAAATATCAAATCTATATTAAGAGGTTATTATTTCAATTCTTTGGTGTCATTGCAATAGAAAAAAATTCTACGTCGGTTAAAGTTAACTGGTTTTTCTAAGTTCATGGCCGTAAAATAATTAGTAGTCGATAAGGAACTTTCTTAAATTCAAACCTCAGCTACCTGAAGCTATACAAAGTGGGTTAGGCATGGAGTGATTTCAACAATTATGGATGATCCATTGAAGTCTGTTGACACCAATACGCATTGGGCATAAAGAAAATAACAAAGGCTTATTCTTTTTATCCGAGACGTTTCGAGGTGTATCTAGACATATGAATGTCTGACTGGAAACGACAAACATTGAGGACCCACATTTTGATCTGTGAGGGAGCGATTCTGATTTTGATGGAAAAGTGTTCTTTTAGATATTATTATCATTTTATCTCTTTCTTTCTCTCTCTCTCTCTATCTATCTATCTATCTATATATATATATATATATATATATATATATATATATATATATATATGCGTGCAAACAATAAGTAAGGGGCAGGGTCAGGGTGTTTCTAGCTGTTAAGGTATCCACAACGGCTATGGTTCTACTAAAAAACTAAAAGATTTCTACTGCCCACCCTTATGATGGCAAAGTAGTTCAGTGGTTATTTTTTCTTTGCAATTTTATTATCAACGTTTTTATTCCTATTTCTTTAATTCCCACATATTATTTATTTTTTATTCTTTTTTCTTTCTTTCAACCCTTCTATTTTCTTTTCCTTCTTTCTTTCCTTCTTTCTTTCTTTCTTTCTCTTTGAAAGAAAGAATGAGTTAAATGAGATTGGTCTAGTGAAAGAAACAAACAAACAGAGTGCGTGATAAATGGTAGTAATTATTCATTGTATAATAAATGTAAATAAAAAAAACAATGAATGACAATTTATTAAAGTACTTTATTCCTGTTTTTAATCTTCTGTTTTGAAAGCGTCTCACTTGCATGTTTTTATTTCCTGCTTGATTCTTCTCAACCTTCTGCATCTTCTTCCTCTTCGAATTCGCCTTCTTCTTCTACGGTTGCATCCTGTGCAAAACGAAAAAAAAACAGTTATTCCAACAATACATATTTCTGTACAAAAACCAAGTCAACATATCAATATGATAAAAGTCAGTCTCACCACCATTACCATCGCTTATCTGTATTTAATGATTTTAAGCGAAATATGGATGCTAATGTAACCTAAACTGCTTGAAAACTTAAAACAATGAATTGCAGTTACCATTCAGTGAAAATATTTATTCACGGATATTGTTCATCAATTCTGTAGTCATATTGTTCATCAATTCTGTAGTCATATTATTATTATTTTTTTATTATTATTTTCTTTGATTTCTGGCGTTTACACATTTCTTTCCGGGTCCCGCCCAAGGACCTAAGGTTAGAAATGGCATCATGACACTTTCCACTGACACAAAAAAAAATTACATAGATAAAGCCTTTCGTAAAGTGTGGGCTGTACTTGTCAGAACAATTTTTTGTATCTCCTTGAGGCATGGATTTCCAGGAATCCCTTCAATTAGTCTACTGCAATCTTTTCCAACCAGTCCTAGGGCTCCAACTACAATAGGGATTATTGATGTTCGCATATGCCACATTTTCGAGATTTCTATTTCAAGGTCCTTGTATTTTGACAACTTTTTGAATGAAATTTGTTGGCTTCTTTTATTACGGAGTAAAGACGCTTACTACTTTCATGTTCCTTGACGCATACCATCATCCAGTCTTCTGTAGTTTCCAAGTATCTTTGGAGGCCAATAGTTGTAGTTTTGTAGGGCAGTTCTCCTTCGGGTCTGGGTACATACAGACGATCAACATCAGCTTTGGGATGATGCATGCGGTAGCAAGTGAGAAGCTTTCTTGTTTTGGCGTCCATTCGCTTAATTTCAGCTATGGTCTAGTTAAGGACATTAAAGCTGTATTGCACCACAGGGACAGCCAATGTGTTTATGGCTGATATTCTGTTTTTTTGAGTTTAGCTCAGTATTTAGTACCAGACGGACACGCCTGTAGTACTCTTTTCTTATTTTCTCCTTCACTTGGGGGTGTTGTATGCCATCTCCGCTAATTCCTAGGTACTTATAAGCTTCAGCATGCTCCAGTTCCCTAATCTTTGTGACAAAATCTAAATCTATTAAGGGTGTTTCTGTAATTCTACCTTTCTTGAATGTTACTTTTGCACATTTATCTAATCCGAAGTCCATACCTATGTCGTCACTGAAGTATTTTACAATATTGAGGAGGCCTTTCAACTCATTGTCGTCTTTGGCAAAGAGTTTGAGATCATCCATGTAGAGTAGGTGATTGAATGTTTTCTTATTTATTTTGTAACCATAGCTACTGTTGTTCAGTTCATGTGTAAGAGGGATTACGGATAAACAAAACAGTAGGAGTGACAGAGAGTCTCCTTCAAAGATTCCACGTCGGATATTCAGACAGTTGGATATGGCAGTGCCCCCGGTGTGACTAAGGTATAGTTTGGTGTTCCACATTCCCATGCTGTGCTTAAGGAAATTTAATACCACAGGGGAGACTTTGTACATTTCCAAAGTCTTAAGGATCCAAGAATGTGGAACACTATCAAAGGCTTTACGATAATCAATCCACGCTGCACTAAGATTTCTAGGTCGTCTCCTGCAATTTTCCAGGATCATTGTATTGATCAGCAGTTGATCTTTGCAGCTATATGAACCTCTTCTGCATCCCTTCTGTTCCAGCGGGAGAATGCTGTTTGTTTCGAAAAAGGAATAAGTACGGTTCGTCACTACAGACGTGATCAATTTATACGTTGTGGAGAGGCATGTTATCGGTCTATAATTTTTCGGGTCGTCTGTTTCAGTTGTTTTTGGTATGAGGTATGTAATACCTTCAGTAATCCATTCCGGGATTTTATTGGGATTATTTACAAGCGGTGATAATGTTTTTGCAAGAATTTCATGGATAGATGAGAGATGATAAACCAGATTATTATTATTATTATTATTATTATTATTATTATTATTATTATTATTATTATTATTATTTCTGCTATGGACACACTACCTACCAAGTCTGCGGAAAGACCTAAGGCAGGTCGTGGTGTGTTGTTATGGCCACATTTCATGTTAATTTTTTTTTTTTTTTTATTTTTTTATCTCCGATGAAGTTGCTAGCGTTACATAGACAAAGTTCTCCTTAGTGTGTGTGCTGTACTTAATAAGACAATTTTCTGTATGTCTCTTAAGCTGGGTTTCCAGGATTCTTTCAATGTGTTGTTTTGTTCCATTTTTATAATTCCAAGTGCACCTATTACCACTGGTATTATTCTTGTTTTCAATTTCCACATTTTTTTCTATTTCAATTTCCAGGTCTTTGTATTTTGATAGTTTTTCAAATTCCTTGGTTGCTATGTTACAATCCGCTGGACAAGCCATATCAATTAGTAGGCAAGTTTTTTCTTTCTGGTTTTTGACAATAATGTCCGGCCTATTTGCTTCAATTTTTCTGTCTGTGTGGATGGTATAATCCCATAGAATGGTGACATCTTCTATTTCTGTAACCGGCGCTGGCCGATGTTCATACCAGTGTTTGCTTACACATTTTCCAAAGTGTTTGCACATTGTCCAGTGTAAGTATTGCCCCACTCTATCGTGACGATTTTTATATT